CGGATAAGTTAGGGATTTCTCATTTCTGAGTTAGGGTTTCTCTATCTCCGACTCCCATCTCCGATTCTCTAGCTTCTTTCCTTCCTCCAGGCCGTTCGCACTTGCAGACTCGCAGTTCGCACCTTTGGCTTGGTCTGTAAGACTGTAATCACTAGTAAGTGAATTCATTACTCATGAATAAGTTTGGTTTCATTTTTTTAGAAGTATTTTGGCATTTTGCTAAGTTTTTGTTTCTGATCGACTGATCTACAATTCTACAGATCTACTATTCTACGAATCTACATTATTTCTACTCTTCATTTATTTCACAATTTATCAATCTGGAAGTTAGGGTTTGTAGTTTTTGTAGATTAGGGTTTTTAAGTTTGTTGTTTTTGACATTTGGTTTTGGACCTTTAAGGTCTTGTCTAGCATCGTTTATCATATTCTTGAATCTTGAGTATGACTTTTGAGTTTTGAGTCTTTTGGCATCTCATATGTCGGCAATCGACATGCCGTCTGCGCCTCTGCGGGTCGGGACTGGGGAAATATGATTTTCATTTATATTTTTGCCATTACAGTGACTCAGTGAGAGTGAATCAGTGATTACACAATACAGTAATACACAAATAGATTTTTTTGTTCTGAATTTGTTATTTATTAAGTTGTTAACTTGTTATGAAGTATGAACTATGATAGTAATCCACTAATCCAGTTAGGCTTTGAGCCTTTAAGCATATGATTATGTTTCCCTGTTGTTTCTTGTCTTCTGAGATAGTGAATACTGAATAGTCTAATACTATTGTGTATTTGTGCGAGTAGCCTAGTACTATTTAAATTCTTTGAGCCTTTAAGCCTATGATTCTGTTTCCATATTACCTTATTAGTTTTTTTATTTAATATTTTGTAAGTATGTGTTTTTTACTTTTTTTGGTGTTTAGATGGAGGGTTCTAATACAATTGTTGACAGTAATCCTCTCGAGCAAAATGAGGAAGACCCTATTAATAATGATGTTGAATGTGACAGTGATGAGTATAATAATGTGGATGTGGGTGAGGACCGTGAAGTTGATGATAATGCAATTCAAAATGAACAAAAAAAAAAAGAAGAAGAGGAGGTTGACCTCTACTGTTTGGGGACATTATGAAATGTTTCCAGTTGGTAATGATGGCGAACAACGTTGCAAATGTAAGAAATATGGGGCAACTTACTTGTCTGATAGTAAAAATGGGACAAGTAATCTGAGACGTCACATTCAGAACTGTAAGAAGCGGGACTCCCATGATATTGGTCAACTTATTCTTCAAAGTAACACAAGCACTTCTATTTCTATGGTTGAAAATAAGTTTAATTATCATGAATTTCGTAGCTTGTTCACTACATGCATAGTTAAGCATGACTTACCATTTCAGTGTGTGGAATGGTCTGGTGTTAGAACATTACTTCGATACTTACTTCCTGATTTATAAATTGTATACAGAAATACAGCGCGAAATGACTGTAAGAAATTGTTCATTAAGGAGAAAGCCCAGATACAAGCCCTTCTATGTACTTGTAAGAGTAGAGTTTCCTTAACTTCTGATTTGTGGACTTCCAATAACACTGATGGTTTTATTTGCTTAACTGCACATTTCATTGACAATAATTGGTGGTTACATAAGAAGATTATAAGTTTTGATTATATGCCACCCCCCCCCATGATGGCTTAGCATTATTTGAGAAACTTCAACAGCTTTTGATTGATTGGAAACTTGATAGTAAGCTTTTCAGTATTACCCTAGATAATGCTTCAGCGAATACTGTCTCAGTTGATTTTCTAAGAAATCATTTGAATTTGCAAAATGCACTAATATGCAATGGTGAATTCTTCCACATGCGATGTTACGAACATATAGTAAATCTTATTGTGTAGGAAGGTTTGAAGGATATAGATTCCTCTGTTATGAAGGTTCGCGAGAGCATTAAATATGTAAAAGGCTCTCAAACAGGAAAACAAAAGTTTATGGAATGTGTACGACAAAGTTTGCTTGAAACTAGTAGAGGACATTTGAGGCAAGACGTACCAACTAGATGAAATTCTACTTTCATTATGCTAGATAGTGCAATATACTTCAGGCGTGCTTTTATGCATTTGGAGTTGAGTGATTCCAACTACAAGTCTTGCCCTTCAAATAGTGAATGGGAGAAAATGGTTAGAATATGCAAGTTTTTAGCTCCTTTTTATCAAATTACTTGTGCTTTCTCCGGTACAAAATATCCAACTGCAAATTTGTATTTTCCATGTGTATCAACCGTATATGCTACATTAAAACATGAATTGTCTTGTAGGGAGGAGTATATTAGGAGAATGACTGTTTGAATGCTTGCTAAGTTTGAAAAGTATTGGTCAGACTTCAGTGTTATTTTAGCAATTGCAGTGATTCTCGATCCAAGGTATAAGTTTAACTTTATTGAGTGGTGCTACAAGAGACTTTACTCTGGTCAATATGATTCCGAAATTGAAAAAGTTAAGGATAAGTTGAGCACACTTTATTCATCCTATGCAACCGTACAAAACCAACCATCAACAACGAATGTATCTCAATCATCTCAATCTTCACGATATACTCGATCTAGTAATCAGTCAACTATAATAATGCAATCACAATTTCTGCAGGTATAATCAATAAATCACATTTCATTAACATATTATGTTATATTGTTATGTCAAGTTATCAAACATAATTATTTAAAAAAAATATAGGATTATGATTCTTTCGAGGTGGAGGTAACTATGCCAAGAAAATCAGAGCTTGAAATGTATTTGGATGAACCGAAGATGGATAGGAATAGTGAGTTAGACATTTTGCAATATTGGAAAGTAAATCAATTCAGATTTCCTCAGGTCTCTAGAATGGCTCGTGATGTGTTGTGCATTCCAATCTCTACTGTTGCATCGGAAAGTGCTTTTAGCAATGGGGGTAGACTTCTAGACCAATATAGAAGTGCATTGAAACATGATATTGTAGAAGTCATTGGTTTGCACAAAGGATTGGTTGTATAGTGACCAAGGTAATTTATATGTTTAAGAATACACGGATGGTTCAATTTTTGTTTAAATGTATATTTCAACTGAATTATTGTTTTTTTAATAGATATAAAAGACACGGAGCTTGATGCTGTGACAAAAAAAATTATATTGGAGGGAAATCAAATGGACAATGTGAATGAGTCAGACAATTAAGCAGTTTAGAAACTATTGTTAGCTCAAATTTGTATTTATAATGACTGTAATGGACAGCTGCTTTGCAGCAGCTGTTTCTGCCTATGGGGTTTTATTTCCTATCTTCTTACAAGTATGTTTCTAGTTCTTGCTGGCTGGTTGTTGAAACTTGATAGTGTTGTGCATTGTGCTTTGTGCAGCACAGCAACAGCTGCTAGCCTGCTTCTGGAACTCTGGTTGTGGCTTTTGTTTCCTGTCTGGTTAAATTTTATTCTGGTTGTGCACTTGTGCTGGACGATTTTTTTTTTAACATTCAATTTCTGGTTGTGGCTTTTGTTGGGGACCTGGGGCCTTTGCCATGTTGATGCCTGATGGTTGTGCCTTGTGCAGTTGTGCTGGACGGGTTTTTTTTTTTTTAACATTTAATAGTGAATCCTGATGGATAATGGTTATGTTGGATTGTTGCAAATTTTCCATGTTGTCCTGTACTCCTGTTGGTGCCTTTGATGCAATAATCTTAGAATCCTGAATTCTTGATGGTTAAATAGCTAATTGGTTATGTTGGATTGTTGGCCTGTTTAGGTCTTTACTCTTTGATGGTTATCAGGTTATGTACTGTACTTATGCTGGATTGTTCATTATTGGCTTGTATCCTTGTAGCCTGTTGTGGCCGGTAGCAGTGCATCTTGCTGCTTGCATATTTGTCTGCAAGTATGCAAGCCTACAGCAGTGCAGCTTGCAAAAAAACATTTTCGGATTGCTCTGTGCCTCTGTTGCTCACTTGGTCTTATCTTCTGAAATTCTGTTGATGTTAGTTTATTATTATAATATGGCAATGATAAAGAACCTTGCGAATATATAGAATAGTGCCAATACATAAATAAAAATGTTTTGCAACCAGTTTACAAATTGAGGAAATAAGATTTTTTTGATTTGAGCATATACTATTTCAGTGAATAGATACTAAATTTATAAAATCTGTATGCTCAATTTGTAATCTTGGAGGGCAAAATTTTAAAATTGTTGCAGACTAACAAATGATGCTTCAATTTTCACTAGGTTTATTCTGAGCCGAAGGCCCTAAAGCCTAAGTCGGTGAGGCGGTGATTCATTAAATCCTTGACCAGTTGACCTTGAGGCTTGACTTGACTCTTGAGCTTGTAGATTTTACTTAATTTTGTTGCAGACTTGCAGCCTTGTAGGTTCATTAATACTTGATCTTGATGGTTCAAAGTTCAAATTTCAAAGTTCAAAGAAGCTAACTACTTGAGAGTTGAGTCTTGAGGCTTGACGGCTTGAGCAATGGCCAATGAGCAACAACCAACAACAACTCTGGTTCACTGGTTATGACTTGTGATTTACTATTTTTTGTGTATTTGCAAATTATAAATTGTAAATTTGTAATGTATCAAGTATCATACTATCAGTATCATTGTATATTTCAATATTTGTAATTTGTATTTGTAAATTGTAAATTTAAAAATTGTAATGTATCTTGTATTATAGAAAATAGAAATTAGAGTTTTTGTTTGATACATAATTTTTTGTATTCATTTATTATTTCATTATTTTTTTTGTTTATTAGTCATATAATTGATAATTTCATAAATTTTTCTACTTAACATTTTTTTCCCAATAAAATTCGGGTTGGCGGGTCGGGTCAACCCGACCCGTGATTAACCCGGGTCGGGTCCGGGTTCTGCTATTGGACCCGTATAGCTAAACAGGTCATTAGCCACACGGTTCCCCTTCTTCGTCGTTACTTCCATCCCGTTTAAACTGCCGACACTCCCACATCTCACTCGTCCAGAGAGAGGAATGGATGCCAGCGGCAGGGATGAAGCGCTCACGAGATTGGTTGAGGACCTCTCGGACTTAGCTGCCGCAGCCAAGAACCTGAAGCTGGAGGCGGAGAACCTTAGCCGATTCTCCCAACTCATTTCCGATGTCAAGGACCTCCGCCTCCGGCTCGAATCGCAGCAGACCTTCCAGCTCGATCATGGATTCATAGCAAACATTTTGCAGGAGCTCGACACCGAAGTCCACAGGGTTCGCAAAGTCATCGGCGATTGCAACTCCGAAACCCTCCTCAGCCTCTCCGAACTGAACCAATCCGCCAAAGCCATGGCCGCCACACTCCGCCTCGAGACCACGGAGTTCAAATTTGCAGCAGATGCTGAAGCTTACCAGGTCCCACAACTAGTACAGTTGCTCGACAGCTCTGCAACAGCTTCTTCGAGTTCTAGGGCAAGCACTGATGAGGAGATCTCCAGCCCGCACAGTTCCTTCTTCCGATCTTTCGATGGCGAGATGCTAACGGATCCCGTCTCCGTATCCTGCGGCCATAGCTTCGAGAGAAGGATCATAGAGGAGCATCTAAGGCTGGGGAACTGCCGGTGCCCCGAGTGCGACAAAGAGCTTTCTCCGACGGAGACGCTCACTCCGAACACCGCGCTACGAAAATACATCTTGGAAAAGAAGCAGAGAAATGCTGTTAAGAAGCTGAGGCATGAAGCTTCCTTGCTTCGCTCGGAGGATTTGGAATCGGTGAACCGTGCCCTAGATGACCTAAACGACGCTATGAAGGTAATTCCTAGCTGTATCGCTAAGGCGAAGGAATATAAGCTTATTCCTGTGCTCGCATTGCTCCTCAAGAAGAGTTCAGGAAACACCAGAGCGGTGCTCAGTTGCCTCCGCCTTATCGCACGCTTTTCGGATGAGAATAAGGTAATAAATTTTCCATTGACTCGTTCTTTTGTTTTGGAAATCGACAGCGAGAGTGATGAACTTGTGCAGGAAACGATGGGAACGACGGGGGTGATTAGGTGCCTTATGAAGCTTCTCCGCGGCGCTGAGCCAGAACCTTATGCATTAGAGATCATGCTGGAGCTGTCCAAGATAGAAGTCATTGCGGACAAGATTGGCAATGATCCGAACTCCATTCCCATCTTGGTCTCCCTGCTCAACTATCCAACTTCGGATATGGCGGAGATGGCGCGCAGTGTTCTAGAGAACCTCTCTGGAATCCAATCCACCATTATGATGGCTAGATGCGGATACTTCAGTCCCTTCCTCGAACGCTTTTGCAGAGGTGAGACACTTAAAAGCTCATAAAAAACACGTTGTGGATGTTTCGCCGCCCAGTAAGAAGGCGAATTCATTTCTGCTGGTTTGTAGAAGCAGGGAACTCTGAGGAGACGAGAGCTTCGATGGCAAATGAATTGGCTCGGATGAGATTAACAGAAGTTTCTGCTAGGAGCTTGGAAGACGACCAGTTTATTACTTGCCTAATCGAGTTGCTTGGCTGCAGCTCGCCTTCGAGCAAATCGGCATCCTTACAGTGCATCAAGCAGCTCATTGCTTTCAGTGAGTTCAGGTCCCGCTTCCTGTCGAACGAATTCGCCATTCCTGCTATGCTAAGCCTCATTACCGAAGCTTCAGAGCAGCATTGGAAGCAGGAAGCAGTGGTGGTTCTCGTCTCACTTGTTCAGACAAGCCCACCTACGGATCACCAGAACAAGCCAAGATTGCAGGTTCTCTACACTAGCAACACTATCAAAAACTTAATTTTGCAGATTGAAACGTCCGGTTATCAAGTTCAAATTTCACTGCTGAAACTGCTCCAACTAATTGTTCAGACATTTGATTCAGCACGGAAATGGATAAAATCCAATGATGGCGAAATGAGCCGTCTCTTCTCTGCCCTTAAACGAGATCAGAACGACGGTGTAAGATTGCAAGTACTGAATTTGATTTACTACGTTGCAAGTGCAGATCCTAACGACGAGATTTCTCTTCCCCCTTCCCCTGCTAAGGATTCTTTTGTGAATTCCCTTATAGCTATACTCACCCATAGTTGTGTCGAAGAGGAGAGATCTGCTGCAGCCGGTATTATTGGCTACCTTCCAACTGGCGACCACAGCATAGATGAGATGCTCCAAAAATCAGCTTTTTTGAAAGCTATAAATGACATCTTCTCCCTTGCTGTTAACTCCAATGGATTATTAGAAAATTCCCTTACAGCACTGCAAAGGTACGTTGTTTGCTCTAATTCTGCACCTCATAAACAAGTCAGAAAGCTGCTTCCACATCTTGTTCAAATGCTCTCTAATGGCGCCAGCCCTCTTGCTAAGCAGCAAGCCGCCATTACTCTTTCCCACCTTGCAAGTTGCAATAGTATTTCCTCGTCATCATTGTTACATTTGAGACAGAGAATTCCCTATGTGACACAATTGGGAAAAAGACCTCTTTGTCCTGTACATTTATCTAGCTCCCTTCAGCATTCCATTTGCCTCATCAAGATTGGAGCGGTGAAGCCATTGCTAGAGATGGTGAGAACCATGGAACCTGGATCCTCTGCAGCAGCTTTGATGACGCTTAACACTGTGTGTATTCATTGTGACTGCACTGCTGCTGCGGATGCCATAGTGGAGAGCGGAGGCGCAGCGGCCATTATTGAGGTGCTGGAAAGGGGACCAGTAGTGTCTGTCAAGGAAGCTGCCCTTACACTCCTCGAAAAGATCTGCAAACATCCGAGAATCAAAGCAAATGGGTTAGATGAGAAGTTTGACAAAGTACTGGTATACCTTATTAGCAAGGAAAACGAGATCAAGGTGAAGGCAGCTTCCGTGCGTGCAGAAATTGGTTTGTATCCCGGGCCATCCTAGATTCATCAAGTGATCCATTGTAAGATCCTTTTATTTATTTATTATTATTATTTTTTTCGTGATACTAGATCTTACTCGTAAACATATAGATCGAGTGGGAAAATTTTTAAGAATCTTGATTAGATTATTGTTAAAAGATATAAAATTGATGTGATTTGAGTCAATCAAATTTTCTTAGCTCATCTTTTAACCTTTTATTATTTATACGTTTTGGATGAGATTCAATGCTATTGAGTAGTAAAGTTAAATACCAAGTCTATGTTAATCAATATCTGAACAATATTGTCATTGCTAGGTCTCAAGTCCTGAATAAAAAAAAATGAATGGTTGTGTTAGGTTGTTAACAATCAAGTGTAAATCTTGTCAAATAATAATTTCATGAATCTTTTAATATATTATGTTAACACGTATTTCAAAAATATTTCTATTTCATTACCTAATAACTATCCAATTGATAGAGTGTTAGATGAAATCATTCAAAAGGAGCTTCCGTTAGCGAGTTCTATAGTGAGTTTTTTTTTTTAATGTGATAAATAGCGAGTTCATTCTATGAGGCCAAGATGTTAGTTTTGTGTGGAATATGATTGTGCCGATTAATTGAGTTGTATTGTTGCCTTGGACTTTAATTTCATTTGTCGAGTTTGCCGGGGAGTTGCAAGGGGTCCTCCAAAACACACACACACACACACACACACATATATATATATATATATATATATA